CCGGCTCACCACGAGAAGAACAGCCGTCGCTGGGTAGCAAGTCTAAGCGCTTACAGCAGAACAAAGGTGCGGGCTGTGGAGCGAGGGACGGTCCCGGGAGCGCGCCGTATCTGGCCGCCGAGCTGACCGGAGCGAGAGAGCGGGAGAAAGGGGGAGAGCGTCGGCGCAGCGTGCGCTGCAGAGCAGCGTCACAGTGAAAGTGGCCACCAGGGGGTGGGGCGCGCCACCAAGCCGGTCGGGTCAGCAGCGCATCACGGCGACACCGGCTCTGACGCCGCGACACCACGCGACCCAGGCGGCGCCGCTCCCTCTGATGCGGCCGTGGGCTCCTTGCTTGGTTGGTGCGCCTGTCCCACTCTTCATGATCCGGTGGCTTGCTGCCTCCGTCGCCACTTTCAATGGTACGTTGCTTTGACCAGTACGTTCACGGGCTGTTACCTGCATGTCACAGCGTTCAAAGCCCTGCCTACGCCATCACGCCGCTGGGAGCTGCGTTTGCTCCTGATGACACGCGGTTTTCGTTAGCGCTTTCAATAAGACATGGGTAGGACATCCCAATCAGATGTGGGGTCAGGCAGCCGTAGCGTACCAAAACCCAAATCATCACCGTTGGCCAGGGCCGTGCCGGCTGAAGCTCCAGTCACGGTTGCGGCGAAGAAACGAGGCCGCTGTCTCTGCGGATGCACTGGCGGCGCCCGGATGACGGTGTCTCTGCGGACACGCGGGCGGCGGCCGGACGGCGGTGTCTCTGCGGACGCACCGGCGGCGGCGGGGTGACGGCGTCTCTGCGGACACGAGGGCGGCGGCCGAATGACGGCGTCTCTGCGGATGCACGGGCAGCGGCCGGACGACGGTGTCTCTGCGGACACGCGGGCGGCGGCCGGGTGACGGTGTCTCTGCGGGCACACGGGCAGCGGCCGGACGACGGCGTCTCTGCGGACACGAGGGCGGCGGCCGGATGACGGTGTCTCTGCGGATGCACGGGCAGCGGCCGGACGACGGTGTCTCTGCGGACTCACGGGCAGCGGCCAGGTGACGACCATGCAGAACGGAGACGGCACCAACGTTCGCGGTCGGCAGCGGAAAGGCCGTTTGGAGAGGCTGAGTGTACGTGCGTAACGCTCTGAAGGCTGCACTGCTGCCTAAGCTCAGCAAAATGTTAATTTAAGGAGAATTTATACGCTGCCGAGCGATACACTTGCGTTGCATTTTGCAGCATACCACCAACAATATGGTTCCATATTAAAGTTTTGTAATAAGCCTAAACAATTCTCACATCGTTTTCAAGTATCAAAGTTTCAAGACTATATTCTAACCAAACGTTTGCATGTCCTATCTAGCTTTCCGAGCGCTGGCAAAACCGATGATGATAAACCAACATTCGAACATGATGAAGCGACCCGGTCTCCGTTGTTTTCTTCCGGTCACTCTCTAGTCTCCAGGACGTAAAGTCTATGTTTTAAAAGCAACTCTAACATCAAATTTGAATGATGGCAAATTCTGAATATCTGTACGAATTAACTGCAAGGAAAGGAAAAAGTCCGTTTTTCACTTTCGGAAAAGGGGCCGCGACCGCGTAGACTTTCTTGGATGAAAGTTAAGGCAGGGCTTTTAAGTAAGGACAGCTATGGCTTCAGTTCGTATGCACGGTTTCAGTTAATTTCAGTGTTTCAATCCAGTCGCCTGAATGGGATGCACATTTTAGATCTTCGTACGTAATGAAGCGGGAAAATAGGCAACTCACATAATATTTTGTGCTGCATTCAGGAAGAAATAGAGGCTCGAGATCACGAATTTTACTATCGAATAAATCCGACCATGGCCAAATTATGCAAGGGAGCTGGATGCGGTTAAGTATCGTTAGTCAGTGATCCTGTATTGCCTGCGAGGCTGGTGAGTATACTGTGCCTTCGAGTTGCATCCAAAGTGATGTACGCGATGCGCTCCGAATGGGGAGGTTCCTTCTTCCGTTCTCCTGCTTAACTTTGAGCTCAATAGCTAATTCACTTCGAGCCCAATACAAATGTCAGGGTTCCGGTCATTAACGAGCTATGCGAAGGCCCGTTGTGATGCTCAAATTTTGAACCAAAAAGCTGTTATTTGATCAAATGGGCGAAGCACAGCAGAATGCCATTTTAGGAAAACCTCCAATGCAGCGCAATGAGCAATGCGCTTGCACTGCATTTTGCATGTCATCCACAATATACAAAAGGCTGATTTTTTAAACAAATGTTTGCAGTCCCTGTCTTGTTGTGAGTTTAAACAGCCTAGAAAAGGTGAAGAGATGCGGTGTAGAACATCCGCTTTACACCTAAATAGAGATGTACGCAAGCTGTTCAGTGCTTTCGCGAGGAACATTATTCACACAGATAAGACAGTAGTGATATTCTTATTACTATTAGAATTGGAAGATGAAAAATACAATCGTTATTTCCCGTGTTGCTGTAACTGTTAACTTGACCATAGGACATCCCAGAACAATTTCTTTTAAAATACGCTCAATCAAATCTTTGGCTGGTTTGAATTTATTTTCAAAGTTTTGGGAATAATTATTTCACGATGATTGGTCTCGCGCGCGCGGCGCCCGCCGCCTGGCGTTACCAGCAGCGGCCAACGCTGTTTGGTTTTACGGAAGCCGCAACCCCGGCCATCGCTGCTCTAGCTCCTGAGGTGGCAGGTATACAGGGTCTGAAACTGGCTGTTTTCGCTATAAACTGTATATTATTTGTTTCACTAGTCGATTCTGCAGAAGAATGGACGTTCTCCGACGAGCATGAGTTGGCGTCGTTCATTTTTTACCTCATTTCGATCCACTCAATTCAACACTCTTGAGACTCCTTGCGTTGTTTGGGCAAGGGGCTCGTGATAAGAACACCAGGGGGAACATCATCACTACCGGTCCATTGCTGAATAGCCATTCCGTCCCACCGCGGGGTGCGTTCCAGCTGCCATTCTGGCGACACCGGTGGGGTGGAGATCCCCTATCCAATGAGGAAGCCCTTAGAGGGATGCATCATATCATGCTTAGCTCCATGAAATATCCTGAGGAAACTGTAAGCAGCCATGCAGCAGCCCCAAAGTTAGTTGTTCAGTGCATTAGCGAGGAGCATTATTCACGTAGATAAGACAGCAGTGATAGCCTTATTCCTCGGAGAAAAACCAGAACAACAGAGAAACAGATTGGTTGGTATTTCGGCAAGATGTCTTTATCGAAACGATAACAGAAGTGACTTCAAAATTGCATGCCAATGATCCTACTCGATTTTGTAGCTGCTTTGTTGAAACAGCAAGTTGCAGCTTTTACAGGACACCAACATTCAGGGGATGAAACCAAGAGCGATGTCCAACCATAACCACGATACAGTGCCTATCTAACAATTATAATACGCGAAATTACGTGTATGTGCAAACGAATTCAAGCAAGCAGGCGTCACGCATCACACTTCATCCAAACATGCAAGCGAGTTGAAGTAAACAGGCATTGCACATCACTCGTCGGGCATCGCTTACACATGCAAACGATTTTAAACTAGCACACATCACACATAAAGGCACATATCACGTTCACATAACGGGCCATGACGAGCCCTATGCGTTAAGGTTTAACCGACTGCTTTTTATAACAATAGATTCAATTATTTTCCTGTCTGGGTGATCCTGTGCTGTGTAGATACCTTTGAGTTCTAAAAGGAGCATAGGGTTCATACCTGCATCAATTTCAGCCTGACCGTGTTTTGCCAAAACATGATCACCGAAAGGGGATCCTGTTTTGCTTTTAGCGTCTTGGAAGTGTCCATTATATCGCAAACGAAAAGAACGTGCGGACTCGCCGACATAGAATGTGCCCCTCCCATCTTTTCACACAGTTTACACTTAATTTCGTGAACCACGTTCTTTTGCGTTCAAGCCCCTTGAAACCCATACTTGCATAAATGACATCAACTGCCTCGCTGGCATTTAGGCTTCGAGAAGAAAGATGTCATCAGATAATTTGTTATATTTATTGTCATCCTTCCAAGCTATGCGCACGCGCAGTTTTACTTTTTAATCGATATATTTAACTTTCCAGAGCAAATGCTCATCTATGTAAGGTAACCTTAAGAATCCGTCGTCCGATAGGACGTATCACGGCCTCCTACTACCCATCCCCCAACGCGCTCTAGACTTTTCCGCTTCTTCCAACATTCTACCTAGAAGGCACGGAGAATATCCGTTGTCCAACATATTTCTCCATTCTCCTGCTTTTTTCTGAGGAATAAGGCGATCACTTCTGTATCGTCTGAATATATAAATATTTATTGCCAAGGCGTAGCAAACAATTTTACGGACGACGAAAACGCTCACCGGTGGCGACCGAAGCGCGGGACTCTTGGACGCCATCTGATCGCACGTCAGCCGGAGGTCAGAATAGGTCAGGTGGTGTTGCAGCGCGCTTTCACTGAGGAGCAACGGTCAGTCGCGTGTGGAAACCTTGACAAAGGAACGGGACGGCGGTACGGCACCACGGGCTGAGACTATCCGAGTTCTGCCTTACTGAACTGGAAGTGGATTCCATATATCTGACACATGCTCTCGATATCGTACATCCTATTCTGTGATGCGCGTTGATGACCTTAACACTGCCTGTGTTTGCCATTATTGCGTGTTAAATGCATCACTCAAATAAGAAACATGGCGGTTTATAGTACGCGTGCCCCCACCTTCCCGACGGCGGTCGCCCACGCTCCACACCGTAGTCGAGAGTGAAATCAGCGGCGCGCCTGGTTGAAACCGGAGAAAGTCGTCGTTGTGACCCACATGTGTCCCCTGTTGGGCAGCCGGTCGTCACTCGGTGGTGTCGGGCCGGCGGAGCAGGAGATCGCCGAGTCGGGACTCGAGACAGCACTTGGAGTCAGGACTCAGTGCCGGACGAGCGCGGGCCGCCGGTCCCCGTGTCTTGGCCGCCCTGCCGCCCCGCCGACCCGCCCCGCCCCAGTCGGCCCCGCCTGAGCCGGCGGCCTGACCCCGCGCCGTCTGGAGCTGACCCTGCCCGCCATCAGCGATGTGTCGGCTGCGCTGACCGGCGCCGCTCCCGTGCCGTCGCGTCAGCTCGCTCTGAGCTCCGCCGCCCAGCTGCCCGTCGAGGCGCCGACAGCTCATGCGGGAACCAAGGTAGGCCACCGCCGCACGCGCGTCGGCGAAGCCCGCTTTGAAAGGAGGGTGGATGGCATGCATCAGCCTTAGGCACCGGGCGACGTTTAATCAGCGAAGAGATCACTCCCAATCACCGCTCAGCGCTGACGTCGGGTCGGTGTGGAGCGAACCCCGCTGGTCGATTTAAGCGAGCCACGCGGGGAACACCATCGTGCGCCCCTTTTGCGCATGGCTCTGAGATGCGTACAGGGCATTCCTAAGACGGGCATTAAGAATGGACAGTATTTGCTAATGTTTTCAGCGGTCATTTTTGCACCTCGCTGTTACAAGCACCATTCTACAGCTCGCACAGCTGTCCCATTCGTGCGCGAGATTGGGGCATCAAAGGAGCTCAATCTGTCGATTCAAGTCGTTTTATCCAAATAATGACCATTCAGCTGAGTGGGACAAAAAGCTTCGGCTTTCCCCATGCGATGGGAGGGCGGAGCTTTGGTGCCAAACGCCGATGCATCGTGATGGGATTGAATGCTGCAATTAGGCGGTGGCGCGCGATAGAGGCTGAATAATTCCTCTGCTTGTTATCTTGCTTCCCATCATATTAAGTGCTCTCGAGTTTCACGCATGCGCCTACATAAAACCCATTCGCCTACTTGGGGCCAGCGTGGTATTTGCCTCGAGGAGCGGACAGCGGCGCGGTTGCGTGTTGAACACTTGAACAGTCCGAGGCCGCCGGGCGAAGCAGGCGCTAAGACCTGACAATGTTTGCTGCGCTGGTCTCGACGCAATCAAGGTGTGGTGTGGCGCAAAGCTGCGAGGCTGCGAGAATCGGACACGTGTCGTCCGTTATTTGCATTTAATTGAGGGCTGCGCTGTGTTCGCCAGGGTCTTCACTATGAGCCATTATGATAGCTCAGTTTGGTAAGTGATGGGTCTGCGAGGCCATCCTTGTTACGGCAGGATCAGTCACCAGTCCACGAGCAGCTGGAGGTGGCCCAGTTATGATAGAATTGAGGTGTCTTCTAACTGCACGATGGTCTTCTTACGCCCGTTTTTCCTGACGCAGGTCTATGCCACCGTTTTTCAACAATCTACTTTCATTGACTTTCACGACTCAGGCTGAAAACGCGCATAGTGGAAGTTTTCATAGATTGCATTTACGTGTTGGACTTTACAAGGAAGTTCTTGCGCCTTCCAATGTTTTGTTTCGCCCTGATACGCGTACTACGAACTGCCATTCAGCACTTGTATGAAAGCCGTCTTGTGTAGAATGCGGACGGTGGTTTTGAACCAGCCCTGATGATTGTCACAAGCTGAACTATGCCAGCAAACAAACGCACCTGCGCGGGGCGTAATCATACCGGCAGGCACGTCTCGCTAAAGATTCCTGCATCTCCAAGGTTCTCACAGCTAGGCAAGGCAATGGCGTCCGGGTTCATAGCGAGGTCGTGATGAAAGCGCTGCCAAGCTGGGGTGCAGGATTATTTCAGCCACGGGCCGGCATGAGGCCGGGCCGGTGAGAGCCGATCGCCAGGCGCCAGTTGTCGTCCGGGCTCCGTCAGAGTGTCAGCCGCTCCGCGGACTCTCCGCCGGGTCCGGTGGTGAGCGCGGGTCCGATGGCGACACACCTCTGGTGACTGAACTGGGTCCGGTGCTGAGCACACCTCTGGCGCCTGAGCTGGGTCCGGTGGTGAGCACGGGTCCGATGGCGAACATACTTCTGGTGCCTGAACTGGGCCCGGTGGTGAGCACACCTCTGGCGCCTGAACCGGGTCCGGTAGTGAGCACACCTCTGCTGCCTGAACGTCACCTATGTCTGAACCGATCCCAGCTCTGAGAGCGTCAGGAGCTCGAGCGCCCACTCCCAGCAACACGTCACGTATACGGCAGTTCTACACAGTGTACTATGGTCAGGTGCCGCATGACTATTGAAGTTTGAGGGCCAAATATCATCATCAAATTTTTGTTGTTATCAGGCTCTGATAAGTCGACAACGTTCTGTTTTCTATTTAGGGAACATAATTAAAGCAAACAAAAATGCAGTGATTACCATTTCAATTACATTCTGAAGGCTTGTTAGAGGCTGTAACATGCCTAACAAAATCGCGATATCCAATACTCCCTGTCGACTCAATACCGATGATGCTCGCATTATGAATCTGCGTTGGCGCCCGTCTAATTTACGGGCCCGTACTCATTGTGGATTACAACGCATTGAGCGTATAACACAAACCCAGATGATCATCATTAACGGTGCTCGATCTCATGCATGCGCAGCACATGAAAGCATCTCGGTCTACCTTTAGATGAAAGCACGATATGATTCAATGGCTCGTGATGCGGTCTTCGATTGCGCCACGCACGCCAGGCGCCCCGCACACTGCTGGTCCACGTGAAAGCTGCGGCCCCTGGCACCCGGCAGGCCGCAGGGAGCCTGGGAACGGCCTTGCGCGGCGCGCGACCCGCCCGACCCGGCGGGCTTTCTCGGCGCCGGCGCCGTCAGCTCCAGTTGTTCACGGGACCGGGTGCGCAGCCCGCCAGGCGTGGAATGGTGAATGGGGAGTGGTCTGGGCGCGACCACCGCGCACACCGGAGTGGAATGTTGCCTCCCATTACCTGCCGAGTACAATGGACATTGTGTGAAGCGAGTGGATGAGTCGTAAGCTGTGGAGGAGAAACGTGGCGCACTTAGCGTCGAGGTAAACTAAATACCAGTCACCCACCGTTCACTTGGCACGATGTCAAACAATTACACTTCTGAGGATCTCATACGATCGACAGCCCAGTGGGGGTTCCCTCAAAGGACTGGAACAAGGCGGAGCTACGTAGGAATTCATGACGTCGATTTTAATCTTCTATCAAAAACCTGAAAAATATTTATGGCGGGAAAAAACGCCGATTTGAGGGACGGGGCAACCCCTGCCTGCCCCTCTAGATTTGATGGCTTCAGCGTTATGCGTTTACTTTCTGAATTTTTGCATTTTTTCGCATTTCACACATTTTTGGGCGCAGGCCAATAGCACCGGCTGGTGGTGCCATGATCGACCTTAAAGCAGTCGATTAAACGAGATCTCCGCGGGGCAGTTACAGCTCCAGTGCGAGACAAAGCGGTGGTAATGTCCCCTCTGCCGTTGTGAACAAAGGCGCCATCACGCGCTGCTGTTGTAACTTACGGCTTTCCCGCTGTGGCCGCCTGCAGTACATGTTGCTGTCATGTACCGCTGTTCGTAGGGCTGCGCAGAGGAAGCGTGCTGTTCAGCTGCCGCCTGAAGTGTCGTCGTTTGGTACTGTCACTGTCGCCCCACACTGTCACTGTCCGCAGTGTTGCACAGAGACACGGCCCGTTTTGTCACTGCCTGGGGTGTCACACCGTGCCACTGTCTCGCTCTGTCGCTGTCCACAGCGTCGGATAGAGCTAACTCCCGCCAGTCGGCCTGCCAGTGCAGTGCACGCAGAACTAGGCGCTCCGTTCCGCTGATGTCCATACTGCCGTACGGAGAAGACAAAGCGATCCCAGAGATCCGTGAAGGGTCCAGAGATCCGTGAAATATTACGCTGCTAAGGGAGACTTGCGGGCCAGGGCCCAGGCCCCCAACGTCTGGGGAGTTGGGCTTTTGACCGATGGCGGTGCACGAGAATAGGGGATTGAAGGCGGCTCGGAGCCCCAATATGCTGACGAGGTGCCAGGCGCGGGCGCCAGACCACGCCAGCGTCCTCTGCCTGGCGCAGGAGGCCACCCCTGCTCCCGGCTGCTGCTGGACCTCTGCCTGGCGCGGGAGGCCACTCCTGCTCCGGGCTGCTGCTGGACCTCTGCCTGGCGCGGGAGGCCACCCCTGCTCCCGGCTGCTGCTGGACCTCTGCCTGGCGCGGGAGGCCACTCCTGCTCCGGGCTGCTGCTGGACCTCTGTCTGGCGCAGGAGGCCACCCCTGCTCCCGACTACTGCTGGACCTCTGTCTGGCGCAGGAGGCCACCCCTGCTCCCGGCTGCTGCTGGACCTCTGTCTGACGCAGGAGGCCACCCCTGCTCCCGGCTGCTGCTGGACCTCTGTCTGGCGCAGGAGGCCACCCCTGCTCCAGGCTGCTGCTGGACCTCTGCCTGGCGCAGGAGGCCACCCCTGCCTCAGGCTGCTGCTGGACCTCTGCCTGGCGCAGGAGGCCACCCCTGTTCCTGGTTGCCGCTGGACCTCTGTCTGGCGCAGGAGGCCACCCCTGCTCCAGGCTGCTGCTGGACCTCTGCCTGGCGCAGGAGGCCACCCCTGCTCCTGGTTGCCGCTGGACCTCTGTCTGGCGCAGGAGGCCACCCCTGCTCCAGGCTGCTGCTGGACCTCTGCCTGGCGCAGGAGGCCACCCCTGCTCCTGGTTGCCGCTGGACCTCTGTCTGGCGCAGGAGGCCACCCCTGCTCCCGGCTGCCGCGGTCCGGAGGCTCGTGCCAACCCGGCCGCCGCCGCGCGATCGGCGGATTTCGCCGACGCTGGTCGGTCGCTGACCCACTGAGACGGAGCGGTGTCATTTCCACAGCTGGTCGGTGCCGCGCGGCGGCTGGGGACGGCCGTGGGTGCGCGTGGGAGACCGGCCAGCTGGCCAGGCTGTCGGTCAGCTGACGAGACCGCCAGTGAGCTGATGGGGCTGCCGGTCAGCTGACCAGATTGTCGGTCAGCCGGCGAGACAGCCGGTCAGCTGATGAGGCTACCGGTCAGCCGATGAGACTGGCGATGAACTGATGAAGCTACCGGTCAATTGATGAGACTGTCGGTCAGCCGACGAGACCGTCGGTCAGCTGACGAAGCTACCGGTAAGCTGACCAGATTGTCGGTCAGCCGGCGAGACCAGTGGTGAGCTGATGAGGCCACCGATCAGTTGACGAGACCACGGACGAGATCGCCAGACAGCTACCGACACAGTTAATCAGCTGGCGGGGCTGCCGGTCAGCTGGTGAGACTTTTGGCCAGCTGACGAGACCGCCGCGAAGCTGACCAGGCTCCCGGCAAGCTGTCAGGACCACTAGCCAGTAACCAGCTGG